CATAAATGACAAAATAATTACTTTATTTGTCAGTGAGTCAAATAAATATGCTTATCAAATGAAAGTAAGGAAAGGGACAAATGTCTATGCATATGTAAACACATAGAATGAAGTGACTTTTGTCGAAATGAATGCTTTCTTAGGGATTTTACTTTTTGTTGGACTCACAAAGTGGCCATCATTTGAGTTATACTGGTCAACAGATGTGTTTATCCAAATGTTTTAGAAATATGCCACGATACTGGTTTTTGAGAATTTTGTCTTTTTTTTTTCATCTTTCTAACAATTCAACTGCAAAACCAAGGAACTACCCTGAACATGAAGTATACAAGATCCGGCCATTTCTGATAAACTCGTGTCACTTTGACAGAAATACTTTTATCCCAGAAAAGAATTTTCAGTGGATGAAAGCATGATACCTTTCAAAGACAGGACTAGCTTGTTAATGTACATGCCAGTGAAACCAATCAAGTGGGCCCTGAAAGCCTGTGGACTCAAAAACCGGGTACATTTATAATTGGTAGCTTGATATACTTGGGCTGTGAAACAGCTCAGGTACCAAGGACGGTTGGTTACGCCCACAAAATTGTCCTTCCTGTTGAAGAATATACAAAACAGGGAGCATGTAATTTACTTGGATAACTTTTTTTTCATCCTTTGCATTGTTTCACCACTTGGCCCAACACAGAACAGGAACATGTGGCACACTACGTGAGATAAAAGTAGCAAACCCCCGACCAGGGTATCCCCCCCTCCCCCAATCACACAGATGGACACATTTTATATATTTCCTGGTATGACAGTAATTTTTTTTTCTTCAGAAAAGGTCAAAACATCATGAAAATCATATCAGGATTGTGTACAAGCCTTTTGCAGGCCTCCTCTCAGCACATGGGAATAGTAGACTGATCTGACAAGCAGCTAACGTATTACTACATGGTGCTACACCAGTCTACTAAGTGGTAGAAAAAAAGTTTTTTTTTTTTTTGTTTTTTTTTTATCTACTTGACCAGGGCATTGCAGAAGCAGAGTTCATCTGGAAAGCCAAGTCAAAGTTTAGGCTTCACATTATTCATTCTTTGATGGAAGGCTACAACTCTGGTGTTTCCTACAGGAGGGGTAGCAGGACCAAAGACCCTGCCCGAAAGCTTGTGTTAACAGAACACAACCATGTTATCAACCACAGGTGCCTGAAATGTAGAAGGCCATCTCACCCAGATTGTGTTGTCTGTTCAAAGAGAGAGAAGAAGCACCACCAGACACAGTTTGTGTGCATAAGGTGCGAGGTTCCACAGTCTGATAGACTACAAGGTAGACTGTACCCCAGAACTCCACAAGCAATAATAAAAGTTAAAGTATGTGAAATTTTTAATGTATTTATTTTTCATTTCTATTTTTTTGCTTCAATTTTTTTTTTTTTAATGTCAAAACATCCATTCAAAATGTAATGCATTACATCAAAATATTACTCATTCAATCTTAGTATACAAAAAATTAAATCTATACACACAATACAATTTTAAAACAGTAGGTGCTCGTGTTTTTGTGACATCAAAAAGAATTCAGAAGCAGTGGGAACAATTCTACTAGTGTGTTAAATAGTTTGTTGCTCAATTTTGCAAAATATTCCGGAGCCTTTTTCTTCCGTTTTTCATCAGTCATGTTGCAACCAAAATGTGTGTGTTCTGTTTGGTAGTGCCGATTCAAGTTGTACTCCTTTAACACAGTGATTTTTTTTTTTCTTAGAACTGGTGAAGAAATACTTGTGCATCCATTCTTCATTAAATGCATGGAACTCATCTTCAATTTTACACTTTTTAGGAGGCATTGTTCATTGGATTGGAGAGTTTGGGTTGTTGTGTAGACGACTCCACAATAGCTGCACATGCGCAATATCGTATGTATGCGCAGAAAGTATGTAACCATCGGGGATGTAGATTTCTATGACACTGAAAAAGTTAGCCTTGGTTCAAGCACAAACATGTTGACTTTCACAAAAATTTATTTTATTTATTTATTTATTTTTTAATTTGCTGCAGGCTTCCGTAGGCCACACAAAAACCAGTAGAGGGCTGCAGTTTGCCCACCCCTAATGTAAGTTGATCTTGGAACAAATTAAAAAATGCAGTCAACTATTGAACAGACAGGTTTCAAACCACACTGATTCTTACTGAATCTTACCCAGTGACTAATTTGAGAGAAATGTCACAAATATCAGATCCTCTCAGCAGTGAGTTCCATTGATTTTAAAAAGGCATTTGACAGTCTCCATGAGACTTCACTATACAAAGAGCTACACATATGGCTTCCTGAAGTTGTATGATAATTATTGATATTACACTTTGAGAATGACTACAGCAGTTGGTTTAAGATTTTAACTTGGATTCACTATAATTAAATTCTGTATCCAATGCTGTTTGTTGTCACTATTGAGTGGGTTATCAAAAAAAAAAAAAAAAAAATGGAAATTGGGGTATGAATAGACATGAAGAAAAAAAGCGGATCTTTGCTGGTGGCATAGTGTCATTTATGAGGTATTTTTCAAAAACTTGTAGACACTTGGAGACTGTACTTGAGAAATATGGTTAGCATTCAGCATCAGGAAGACAATATGCAGTTTGAAAATGAATCTTCAAATTATATTCTGATAGGTCAAAATAACAGAAATTGTGGATGTTATTGCCTATGTGGGTAACTCGATTAACAATCAAAGTGATACAGACTAAGAAATAATCTATAGGCAAAGCATCACTAGCTTCCACAATCTAGAAAAGTAAGATGTTCTTAACCAAAATCTAGCCTTACAGTTCGAACACCCTCTTCAGGTGGGACAATTTTGTAATCACCAGTGAAGTTAAGCAAGTCAAGCCATCTTCCATTTTGAAGGGAATCTGCAAATAGATGAAATGGTTTTGCTTTATAGCAAGGCTGTCACTTATGCTTGCATTCCTCATACTATAATGGGTTCCAAATGGAAAATGAAGGCAAGGCCCGCAAGCTGAAATCTGACAAGCAATGAACCAAAAATATAAAGAAAGGACTTCAGATGAGTGAACAGGAACTGGAGTAATTATTGACCAATTGAAGTGGAGTCTCTGGATTGTCTCAAGTGTCAAATGACTCTGTAGTTTTGATTGAGATGACGCCATGTTTGGTTTGAGAAGAGTACATAATCTTGATCTCCATGGCATGGAACTTTGCTGGAGAGTGCGAAAATTTGAAATTATCAACATTCATCAATTTGTTGGCTAAATTAAGCTAGTATGGATTTCAGTGTAATTTGATTTTCTTTACTCAACAGGAGAGGCTGGTGAACATTCCGACGTATGAATTAAAGTCACTTAAATTACATGGGCGACTGTGAATGATATATGTGGCTCACACTGCTGAGAATGAACTAAACCAGTTGGCATATAGCAACCATTTTCTGTTCACCATCTGTTAAAAAAAGTAAAAACTAAACCTCTATTTCCATGGATTAAGAAAGTTATAGTGTGGTCCTGTTGTTGCATGCTTCATTGAATGTCACTCTTTGGTTAGTCTCCAACAAGCTTGCTCTGCACCAATCATGCATCCCCATGTGTTTCAGCATCTACAGGAATATTGGTGAAGAACTGTCAAATGTCAAAAATCAGGCTTGACTCCTCTCTATCCTGGCTATGCTTGTGAAAGACTAAAGTCACTGGTGTGTTGCTGGGAAACTTAACTTCAACAACACTCATCAGCAAGTTTAAAAATAAATTTTACTTATAGTACTATTATTGATTAAGATCATGAATATATAAACAAAAGGGATTTGAAGTAGTTTCCCTTAAACCTTAACCTGGGAGAAAGAGATTGATTGGCAGTTGCAGTTATGTCTAAACAGCCCTGAGCTGTTTAAATGGAGACAGCTGATCGAGGGAGTTCAAAAAGTGTTATGAAGAACAGGTCTTTAGCTGATTGAGGCACCATGTTCATCTGGCAGGGAGACAGTTGATATACTAGTGGTGAGACCATTTTGATCTTACTTCTGCTCTTTCAGTGACTGCTTTTATGGGAGGTCCAAAGCCCAATTGCACTGCTGAATAGCTAGCCAATAATGATGCTTGACCAATGGTCTTGCATCATACATTGACGGGGGAGAAGGAAAGCCCACAAGAACCCAATATGATTGGTGGTCCAATCAAAATAATAACCTCCATCCCAGCCCTTCTCTTATTGGCAGGCCAATCAAAATTGTGGCCTTGTATTGCTCATGTCTACCTTCAGTGGAACATTTTCCATGTTCTGGAATCTCACCTTCATTTGACTTGATTATCACAGGTGTCACTAGCATCTCCCTCCATCTGACAGTGTGTCTTATCCCTGATCAAAACAAACCTGACCTCTTTTAAAGATTTACTTTGTGTCACTCATTTCAACTCACAATTCCTTTATCAAATGAAAACAACATTCTAGTACAAGTTCAACATATCTAAAACTGTACCTAACGACCAGTCCCACCAAAGCTCACAATTTCACCTTTTACACTATACTCCAAAAGTGACACAAAACCTGAAAATTCATAGTATTGCTTTGTTTTTAACATGAAAAATATTTTTACTTCCTTAGAAATAAATATTAGATCTCAGTCAACCTTTGGCACTAGTCATGGTGGCATAATAGAATTATCTGAAATATTAAGGTACATATCAGTATAACAATGAAATGAATTCTTCAAACAAATCTTAGAATCATTTTTTCTTTTTTTTTTTCTTTCTTTTTTTCTTTTTTTCATAAATAATCTTTCATTCAAAGAAATGGTTTGAGCTTTCCTCAATTTCATTCATCAGAAGTTCTTGCCTGTAAAGATATGTTTTTTGTGACCTTTCCTCCACAAAAAATCCAGTGAGGTTGAGTAAATAAATAGCATGAAATAATTTGTTTTCATTTAATTAAACTTTAATGTTATTTTTGGCAGCATAAAAGTAGACATTATTATGCAACATAATGTTACTCTTCACATAATTTGGGTATTATGGCCACATCATATTGAAACACTAGTTCCCATATGATCACAGAAGTTAAGCAACGTGAACCTGGTCAGTACCTTGATGGGTAACCTCTTGGAAATACCAGGTGCTGTAAGTTTGAATGTGCAGATGGGGTAATGGATAATGGCTCAGAATTGTTAACCAGAGAGCTGAGGTCTAATTCCAGTTGGATTTGTTATATTCATTTACACACCTCTGGAAAAGATATGAATCTACCTCTTGTAGTCCTCAGCTATGGGTTAATTAGTAAAATTTGTATCACTAAACTGTTATTATCTCTAAAAATAAAATAAAATTGTGTACAAAATATTTAGATTTCAGCATTAAATGACTGATAGTTGATACACTGCTGAACAAAAACAACCAAATATCACATAATTTGGGGCCAATCACATTTCAAATGTTCTATTTCAAGCTTATCCATGTATCTGTGTGGATTGTTTGGTTACTTTGAAAGAAGCTATGATATATAAACCATTAATGTTTCACTAAATTCTTAGCAGGATAATAGAGCCAGTTCAGTTGGTGTTTTCACTTCTCATCCATATCCAGCCTTTGTGCAGATCTCATCTGGTTATTGTACTAAATTTGGTTTTCACCATAAGTGATGTTACAGTCTAATAAATAGATTAATTTTATATTCCTAAGAAACAGTGCAAACCTCATATTCGTATCTTATTTGTGTTTTATTCCCCATTCAATTAATAAATTCTTTCCAGTCACTTTCAAATGGTTCTAGTTGATACATTGAATTATCATTAACTGTTGACTTTTGACCAATCTTTCTCTCTTAGTTTACTGAACTGAAATTTTTGCTTGGAGTTTGTAAAAATCCTAATGTTTATCCACTAAGAGCATTGCCCCAAGTATAGGATTGATATTCCTCACAATATTTGGCTTTATTGCAGCCCTATTGCTCTTGCTCAAAATGTGAAGATCATGTCTTGGAAGTTTTTTCAGATTTACCTTTTAAATGGGTATCCCAAATATATTGGAAATTTAATTTTCAATGCATCTAAAATCTGTTAATATGGGCATAGAGAGCTTACAAAACATTTTAAAAATGCCAAATTTATCTAACTCAGTAACAATGTTATGACCATTCAAAGCTTGTCAATTTTCCATCTTGTGTGCTATTGGATGAGAAGACAATTTCAACAGTATAATTCAAGATGCTGACTTCAGACTAGTTAAAAATCATAAATGTAATGTTATATAGTTAGTCTTCAAATAAAAGAAATATAATACTAATGGAATCCAATAATTATTAGCTCAAACCAGCCTAAATATTGGAAGAAATTGCATTCTGAAAAATGAAATAATTAAGACCTAATACAGGAGGGCAATTTTGATTTCTCATAAGTTTAATTTTAACAGTTATTGCTTTGCAACCTCTTCCTAATATTCATAGCCTAACAGAAATGAAGCTAATTTTAGTACATCAATAAAAAAAACCTCATATTAACACTATATAAAAACAGCCAGAAATGCAATTTGACTGTAAGGCAAAAACAGGTCAAAAGTATACCATCCTGAACTTGTCATAAGTATCTATTGGAGATACATGCCTGAAACTTTGCTCATTTTGGGATGAGAAATTCAATAAAACTTATTTCTCTGTAATGTGAATACTTTTATCATACCTGTATCTGATTTTTGAAAATTTTGTGAAATTATGCAATTTTTAACTTGTCAAAAAGGGATAGTAATGACTACAAAACTTTAAGAAATTTGTTTCATGAAGTAAATCATTGGTCATTTCTTTAAATAAATACTTATTGAAAAGCTTTAAAATCATTTATCTTCAAACTAAAAAAAATAAAATGAATAAAATACATGAAAAAGACTTTCTGGACAGTTGGAATAGTCCTCATACATTTCCCCTTGTAATAGTGATTTGCAGTCTGAATTTGTTTATAAGACTGCTATGACCTGGAACACTCTATGTCCTAGCATCACTTCAAAGTGGTATTATATCAAAGTAATATCTAAAGACAAATGTTGATGCCACTTGTGCAACAAAAGCCATCAAAAATATTCATTTTTGCCTTTGGTTAGAACTAAAAATTTGATTACTGCACTGAATGAAGATGTAAAAGTTGGAGTAATAGTATACTACAACGCTTTGTCACTTGTAACTGAAGGTCATTTGAAGTGATTCCTCTTCTTCACAAATGCAGGAATTGTTTGAATATTCAAATTCACTGAGGTGCTTTTCTTGTTTCCTTTAGATGTGAAGATAAAATTCCATTAAAAGTTATATTACTGTAATATTTATTCCTTTCACACAGTTTTTTTTTTTTTTTTTTACTTTATCAGCATATTACATTGCAAGAATTTGGGGTCTTCAGTCTGCTTCTCCCATTTAGAAAAAAAGTACTTTTCAGGGTGTGATGTTTATTAACCAGTGAACAGATTAAATATAAATTCTATTAATCACCCAGATAGGGATCTCTAGCATGGGAAACAGTAATACATAAAAGAAGAAAAATTATAAAGAACAGATATCCACTTAAATGTCATGCTTATTCTCTTCCATAACAGCTTGGGGGGAAAAAAATGAAAAGAAAAATTGAACTGTCATATGTGCCTTTTTTTTTTTCTTTTACTTTTTTTTTAAGAAAATATAACAATTTCATTTTAACCTCCAAAATAGGACCTAATATCTAGAATTTGTAAACAAATAATAATTAGAGAAAAAATGTAAACTGATTACATTTTGAAAATCACCTAATTACATTTCAATTTTTCTAAGCATACATGCACCAAAGTTAAGCTAAAACTTTTTTTTTATATATAAAATGTATCTAATTTAATTTTCGTTAAAAGAACATGTAAATTTTAATTTCATCCCCAAATCCTGAGAATTAGAGAAAATATTGCCAGTCACAAATGAAATGAATGACCATTAAAAGGAAAACTGAACACTTTTTTCTTTTTCTTTTTTTTTTTTTTTTTTTTTTTTCCTGGACACACCAAACATATTGAGTGCAAAATTTAAATAACTAAGAATTTATTCAGCTTATATTTTTTATTTTGTAATATGAATTCTTTTTTTTTTTTTTTTTTTTTTTTTTGTGCTCTCTCTTATTAAAGCAAATACAAACCTACAATTGGTTGATAGGCTGTTAAAAAAAAACCACACACACACACACACTCAAGATAATACATAAAAATCACAGCTGATGCAAAACTGATTTGAGTGTGATAGTTTGGGCAAGATAAAATGATTAAGTACTTTCTACAGTCTTAAAATGCATCATTAAGCAAAATATAAGAAAAAGATTTAAACTGTAATATCTATTGATGAAATCAATCTGACTTTAAAATGAGGTTCAGCTGGTAATGTTCATCACTCTATTAGCAATACCAATTTTGATGCACTGGATTCATTCCTAATGTACACCATATGTATATCTTCTTTTTGATCCACGTGCACCTTGGGTTTTATGGGCACACAGATATGAAACCAACTGATTATTGAAAATGAGACATTGCTCTACAAAGTGTAATTGTCTTTTTTCAGTTTTTTTCTTTTTGTTTTTTTTGTTTTTTTTTCTTCCTTTCTTTTTTTTATGTTTTTTATTTCTTCCTTTCTGTTTTATTCCTTCTTCCCTTTTTTTTCTGTTTTATTCCTTCTTCCCTTTTTTTTCTGTTTTATTCCTTCTTCCCTTTTTTTTCTGTTTTATTCCTTCTTCCATTTTTTTTTTTTCTGTTTTATTCCTTCTTTTTTTTTTTTCTGTTTTATTCCTTCTTTTTTTTTTTCTGTTTTATTCCTTCTTCCCTTTTTTTTTTTTTCTGTTTTATTCCTTCTTTTTTTTTTTTTCTGTTTTATTCCTTCTTCCTTTTTTTTTTTCTGTTTTATTCCTTCTTCCTTTTTTTTCTGTTTTATTCCTTCTTCCTTTTTTTTTCTGTTTTATTCCTTCTTCCCTTTTTTTTTCTGTTTTATTCCTTTTTTTTCTTTTTTTCTGCCATGTTTTATTCCTTCTTTTTTTTTTTCTGTTTTATTCCTTCTTCCTTTTTTTTCTGTTTTATTCCTTCTTCCTTTTTTTTGTTTTTTCCTTCTTCCCTTTTTTTTTTTTTTTTTTTTATTCCTTCTTTTTTTTTTTCTGTTTTATTCCTTCTTCCTTTTTTTTTTCTGTTTTATTCCTTCTTTTTTTTTTCTGTTTTATTCCTTCTTCCCTTTTTTTTTCTGTTTTATTCCTTCTTTTTTTTCTGTTTTATTCCTTCTGTTTTTCCTTTTTTTTTTCTGTTTTTTTATTCCTTTTTTTTTCTGTTTCTGTTTTATTCCTTCTTCCCTTTTTTTTCTGTTTTATTCCTTCTTCCCTTTTTTTCTGTTTTATTCCTTCTTCCCTTTTTTTTCTGTTTTATTCCTTCTTCCCTTTTTTTTCTGTTTTATTCCTTCTTCCCTTTTTTTTCTGTTTTATTCCTTCTTCCCTTTTTTTTCTGTTTTATTCCTTCTTCCCTTTTTTTTCTGTTTTATTCTTCTTCTTTTTTTTTTTTTCTGTTTTATTCCTTCTTCCCTTTTTTTTCTGTTTTATTCTTCTTCTTTTTTTTTTTCTGAATTTTTTTCCTTCTTCCCTTTTTTTCTGTTTTATTCCTTCCCTTTTTTTTTCTGTTTTATTCTCTTCCTTTTATTCCTGTTTTATTCCTTTTTTCTGTTTTATTCCTTCTTCCCTTTTTTTTCTGTTTTATTCCTTCTTCCCTTTTTTTTCTGTTTTATTCCTTCTTCCTTTTTTTTTCTGTTTTATTCCTTCTTCCCTTTTTTTTCTGTTTTATTCCTTCTTCCCTTTTTTTTCTGTTTTATTCCTTCTTTCTATGATATTTTATCCACTGAAGTTTTCAACTTCGAAATATTTTGTGATATACAGTTTGAAACAGCTCACCAATTTGATATGCATTCATTTTTCTTTGAGATGGGACTAGGGAGACAGAACTCAAAGCACAAGTATTGTCAACATTGAAAATGCAGAAAAACAAGTGAGCATCATTGAAATAGTAACATAATTTAAAGAGATGTGAAACAAAAACTAATCATCACACATGAAAAACAATTGTATCTTTAGAAAGAGAAAAGATTAAATTTTGTTGTCATCCTAATTTTATCAAAACAGCCTCGAAAATAAACAATATATCACTATTTTGACAAGAGTTTATGCTGTAAACTAGGGCAGGTTGAGATACCTACTTTAAAACAAATGTATTGAATAAAATGAATTCCTTTACTGAGTAAATAATCTTATTAATTTTTTTTTTTTTTTTTTTTTTAATTGGTAAAAATTTCAAGCTTAAAACCAAGATTTATAGATAAATCATCAGTTTTTTATAAAGTTTTTATAATGTATTAGAGATTTATCATAATGGCCGAGTTTAAATTTAGTGTTGTGCATTATTGATAGATTACTCATTATTGTTATAGACAAAGAAAACCAATTATACCATTTTGATGCAATAGTAATGGCAAGGAAAGTCGGAGAATCTTTGAAGGAAGAGGAAAGAAATAAAACCTGGGGAAATGTTAATTAATTTCTCAGATATAAAATTACAATTATGAATACAATTTTCTTAAAAGTGAAGAGGCTATAAATGAACTTGGAAAAATTTGACTGGCAAACAAAAAATGAAATTAATTTTATAATCACAGACAAAAGCTAAACCATTAAAGATGTAATAAACATAAGCAAAATTAAAGTATGAAGTGACTAAAGAATATCAAAATAATTCTTAAAAATTAAAACTTGTAAAGAGATCAATTAGAATATAACTGAATTTCAATAAGAAATCAAGAACCGTTTTCCAGCTGTGTAATAATGAAAATAATATAGAAGATGTGAAATATTTAATGAAGCATGTGAGAAAATAGAACTAATAAAAATATCAATAATGTAAGGAAATACTCAAAAGCAAGAAATAGAGCTAATGCAAAAAGAGAAATATAAACCTTAAGACTGAGAGAGATAAAATTGAAAAGGCAAAATTAAAGTAATAAACAAAAGAATAGGAAGAAAAAAAGTTGGTAGAAGAAGCTATCAGAAATGAAAATAGTTTGGAACATGCTAAACATGAAAAGAAACAAATGCTTGTATTGAAAAATAAAAATGGGGAATAGATGTTATAACTGATGCAAACTTGTATACATAAAAAATAACAATACTGCAACAGTCACTCTGACTACTACTGATGTACCGGGATTAACAGATGGAATAATATTTACATTTCAAAGTGGAAATAGAAAATCACAAGACAAATAGCATAGTAATAGTGTAGTGATATGCAAATTAGTATGATTTGCATATGAGCAGGTAGCTCATAATATAAATGGACAACAACTAGAACGGAGGTCGAATGCTTATTTGGCAATATACACAACATAACAATGGCATCGCCGATAGGATACTCTTTGGTCCTTGAAGACCCAGAGTACGTAGACACGTGGATTCGTTGCTTTGCTGCTAATGCCAGATGTAAAAAGTTGAAAGACAACAAAAACACAGGAGGGGAAAATGAAATCACTGACTTGTTCATGGCTACTGCTGGTTGTGAAGCGATTATGAAGGTTACTATAATGGTTTACCCTCGAGAACTAGAAGAAATGACTTTCGAAGAAATAAGTCAGGTTATTAAGGGAAACATGAGGCCAAAGAAAAGACTGGTGATTGCAGAAAGGACCAAGCTTATGGCAATGAAGCAGGAAGTGGATGAACCGATAGTAAAATATTTACACCGTTAAGAAGTGTGAGTAAATACTGTGAATTCGAAAAAACTAGGAACAGGAGAGCAGACAATGGAAGAAGAATTAATCCAACTAAGATTAATTGAAGGTATGCATAATTCAGCACATAGATATAAGTTAATGGAACAGTTACAACTTACAAACATGCCTTTGAATATGTGTATAGAATTTATACAATAGCAGGAATTAATACATACCTACAACCAAAATAAAAATCCAAGAAATAATGGCTGAAACATATACGGTACAAACAAAAAAGGAAAAATTGTGCGTACTGTGGAAAAATTCATGAAATGAAAAAAAGAAAAAATGCCCAGCCTTTGGAAAGACGTGTTCAAAGTGTTTAAAAAAAAATCACTTCAAAGAAGTATGTAAAACGAAAAATGTGGAAAGAGTAGAGGATGAAAATAGACAGATTTTTAATGTAAAAAAGGATAATATACAAAATACTGGATCTAAGAACGAAGATACAAAAATAAAAGTGAAAACCGACGACTGTATTGTCGAAATGCAAATCGACACAGGTAGTGAGGTCACGATATTACCCAGAAATTTGTGGGGAAAAATGGGAAAACTAATTTTTAAAAAAAAACCAACGATACAACTACGTCAGTTTGATGGCTCGATTATAGCAATTATGGGGTTACTTTGAAGGTTCAATAGAATTAAAAGAAAATATGAAATAGTACTCATTATAGTTACAAATTGCCGAAAAACGCATGGACTACTGGGGAATGACGTGTTAAAAATAAATTCAACGAAGTTGATTAATGAGATAGAAATAGAAAAAACAGGAAAATTAAATAATTATGAAGCTAGCCTGAAATTAAAAAAAATTTCCCCCCTCCTACTACGAAGCAGAAAAATATTTAGTGCATTTATTACCGTTGGTAATAGCTAAATTTCAAAAGCTAATAAAGGAAGACTTATTAGAACCTGCCCCTCCAGGAGGAAGTAAATGGGCATCACCCATCGTGGTATTGAAAAAAAAAAAAGATGGTGACCTGAGAATTTGTGGAGATTATAAAATAGGGGTGAACCATAAAGTTTGTGCTGACTCGTACCCTATTCCGAATGTGGAAGTAGCTTTACATAAACTTGCTGGAATGAAAGTATTTTTCAAGATAGACCTAAAATCAGCTTACCACTAAATACCGATAAATGAAAAATTTTAAAGAAGTGACGACCATAAACACACCTATAGGCCTGTTAAAGTGGAAAAGAATGTAATTATGGCATAAAAACGGCAAGTGCAATTTTTCAAAAGCTATTGAAAAAGTAATAGGAAATGTTGAAAATACCATCTGTTATCAAGACGATATATGTGTTGGAGATTTAAATGAAGATGATTTAAAGAAAAAAACTGAAAATATATTGAACCGGCTAAGAGACGCTGGTATGACAATAAATACAAAAAGTGTGTAACCAACAGTAATGAAATATCATTTTGGGTTACTCAATATCAAAGAAGGGATCTCTCAGATAAAGTATTAATAGAGAAAATTCTAAAAGTTGCTACACTGAAAAAATAAAAAAGAGTTGGAGTCCTTCTTAGGTTTGGTAAATTTTTATAGAAAATATGTACCAAAATATAATGAGTTGACAGAACCATTTGCTAAGTTAAGAAAAAAAATGTGGAATTCATTTGGTTAGAAGACCAACAGAAAGCCTTTGAAAACTTAAAACAGATTCTGGCAAAAAAGCCAATAGTACAAATTTTTGACCCTAAGAAGGACATAACTCTAACTACTGATGCTAGTGAGCAGTCCATATCTGGTATTTTGTCACCAAGATGGGCATCCCATAATGTATTTATCGAGGAGATTAACAAACAACTGAACACAATTATTCGAATATAGAAAGGAGGCACTAGCCATAGTGTGGACAACGGATAGAGCAAGACAGTTTTTGATGGGGAAAAAATTCTTGTTGAAAAGTGATCACAGACCACTGGAATTTATTTTCAACCCAAGAAAAGAGCTACCGAAAGTTACAACGTCCAGAATATTACGTTGGGCGATTAGACTGATGGTGTTCGACTTTGACATTGAATATGTTAAAGGGAATACGATACCGCACGTTGATGCCTTATCTAGATTGAGGTTTTATAGAGAAGAGAAGGACAAAAACGACGAGGAATTTGAAGACACATTCTTGCACCTCATAGAAACTGATGTAATATCTGTAGATAAAATGGCTACTGAAACTACAAATGACCAAGTGTTAAATAGAATAATGTCGAGGATAAAACAGAATCGCTGGGGAAATTGTTCAATGGCTGAAAGACCATTCAAAGAAATTAGACATAGAATGACTATAGAAAACAGGATAATATGTAAGGGAGACTTGGTAGTCCCCAGAAACACAGAGGAGACAGATTATAAAAGTGTACACGATGACGTACATTGTGGAGTGGCAGCTATAAAAGAAGATTAAAATTGGAAGCTTGGTGGCCGGGGTACTCAAAAGACGTAGAAGAAGACTACGTAAGAAGATGCAAAAAAATGTACAGAACTTAGAATTTTAAGCAAAAGAAAATACATGTATGGCCCCGAGAAGTAGAACCATGGAGCAGAGTACACATGGACCATGCCTATGTCAATGGGATAGGACTATTATTAATATTAGTAGAGACGCATGTTCAGGTTGGCCTGAAGTGGTGAGAGTACCTGATAAAAAAGTACCGCCGTAAAACAAATATTAAGAGTAATATTTTCGAGGAATGGGACACCGAGAACATTGGTGACTGATAACGCACCAGAATTTGTTGATGCTGATTTGCATGAATGGTTAAGAAAAATAGGATGCAGACCTTACAAGACCCTCCCTACCACCCTCAAAGTAATGGGATAGCGGAAAGGATGGTCAGACGGTAAAGAAGGGCATAAAAGCATGCTTGCAACAGAAGGAGGAAATCGATACTTTTTTACCAAGACTACTGTTAAGTTATAGAACAATTCCACATGCAGGTAGGCGAAAGTCCATCTGCCTTAATGGGCAGACAATTAAGGTCCAATTTGACTATGTCATGCCACAAATCAAAAGATGTGGTACAAAAGAAAACAAGAATATACAATTTGAGTCAGCCAAATTTATTATGCAGAAAGGACATAATACTGCAATATTAAATAAAAGAAAATGGGAACAGTATTCTAGCTCATGCTGACCAAATAAGATCCCAAGGAGAAGAATCGGATGAGGAAATGCCTTCAGAGATGCCCATTATTGAAGAAGAGTTAATGCAGGATGAAACTGCGGAGGAAGAAGTAGAATGGGACAAGTTAGAAGAGGAAGACCACAGTATGCAAGAGGAACAGTTCAATTATAGGAAAAGCATTGATAGATCTAGATCTCCAAGGGAAAGGAGAGAGATAAAGGAAGATGTTCAGGAGGGCACAAGAAGAAGTACAAAAGTATTTTCATGGCATAAGGCCCCTCCGTTATAGGGAGATGTAGTGATATGCAAATTAGTATGATTTGCATATGAGCAGGTAGCTCATAATATAAATGGACAACAACTAGAACGGAGGTCGAATGCTTATTTGGCAATATACACGACATAACAAATAGGATTTTTGAAAGATGTAGAAGCTATTTATCCATTGTATATGGCAAAGAAATGTACCTCAAAACTTTAGTTTAGGAATAGTATATGGGATTCTC